CGCTATCATGCATCCCCTGCGGCGCTGCTCCAGTCGTTCACCACCCAACCCCACCCGGATCCCATGAACGAAGCAGAATGACGTTCCGCACAGTCGATGAGCCCCGAATCATTGTAAGCATGCCCAAAGACGACCCCCCCCAAAGAAGCTCACCTCTCCCGCATATAGCAACGGGCATACCCCCCCCGAAATCATTACTATGACTTCCATTGCTTACAACTTGGCCGTCGCAGAAACATGCACGGAGCTCACCTTCTTCGCCGGTATTATGGTGGTTGCCAATGTTGTTGTTGTTACTGCAATCGTCACTGCTAATGTTGTTTTCGTTGGCTGCTTTGTTGTCAACACCCTCCCCACACCAATCACCTTCAATACCGGCGCGATTGTCGTTGTTGTTATTGTTGGTGCTGTTGTTATTGTTGTTTTCCTCGCACCTGACCACACAAAAGTGCAGCTCTCCGTTGTTGTCGTTGTTGTTGTCGTTGTTGTTGTTGTTGTTGTTGTTGTTGTTGTTGTTGCTGCTGTTGTTATCATCGCACAAAACCGCAATCCCCCCTCCGCCCCGAGAGCACTCTTCGACATCCACAAGCGAACGCGCCTCCAGTTCACCACAACAAACCTGCCTCTCCTCAGGCTCCTCGCGACTAATTCCGAGCTCGTTGTTCGAAAGAGCAATTGGAACACCCACGTCATCGATTGCATGCAAGCGATCCCACGTCGTAGCGCCAGGCACTTGCCCCTCCACAAGCCCCACACAGCTACCCTGTTGCGAACCTCCACATGTCGTCTTCACATGCAGCCCCTCCCAAAGCTCTATGAAAACTCCTCTCAATTTCCTTATCATCTCAGCACAATCGCCCATCTCAGCTGTCACCTGTGCTCTCTCGGTAATACCCAATCGTTGAAGAGAAAAATTCGCGCGGATCTCCTCGTCCCATCTGTTGAGCACTTCCTCCCCCTCGTCCAAAAGYTCCGCTGATAAATCCTGTTGATGGTGAGTAAGCACATCATAGAGCTCCTCCATCTGTCGTTTGTGCATCCTCACCACCTCCAGCGGYGCCTCCTCCTCTTCCAACAGAGCAGCAGCCACTTCATCCTGCATGATTGCCGCCTGCATCGCCATCATTAGTTTATGTGTGAAATATTATGTCGTGAAAGCCGCCCCCAGAAATCGCGCACTCTCAATACAATCTAAAGGTGGCGGGTGCCAAGCTTTCCGAGGAAGGTGCATGAGTCCAATGGGGATTGAACCCAAGACCTCCTGAATGCCACTTGCGTGCCTTACCAACTGATTTAGGCCGCTGGATTCATTGATACGTCTTATAACACATAGAGTATTGTTTGTTGTTTCCTAGGCCTGTGGCCATCTCTGTCGCACTCTCTGCAGCCTTGCGCAGGGGGCATGACACCAGAACCTTTCTCAGGCCTCGAGCAGTTTTGGAGGCCCTAAACGAAAACGGGCAGTGGACGAAATTTATCCATGGCGGCCCTTTCCCCGCTTGGCTTCCTATTGGGAAAACTTATAGAACCTCCCCGCGACGAAACCTTTGTACTCATTTAAGCGCTGGCCCAAAATGACTTTTTGAGTCATTTTGGCACCTTGGAAAACACGTTCCCGCCAATTTTGGCAACGTACGTTACCGGCCCAGCCAGGTTGCAAGAATGGTGCAAGAATGGCTCGTTACGCGCCCAGCCAGGGTGCGAAAATGGGTAGAAAAGTCAATTTGGGGCCTGCGACACCTTTTGGCACCCTGGAAAACACTCTTTTTGGCACCCCGGAAAAAACTAGCCCGCCATTTTTGCCAATGGCCGTTACCGGCCTGGCCATGGTTCAACAATGGCTCGTTACCGGCCCAGCCAGGGTGCAAAAATGGCTCGAAAAGTCATTTTGGGGCCTGCGACACTTTTGGCACCCTGGAAAACACTATCCCGCCATTTTTGCCAATGGGCGTTACCGGCCCAGCCAGGGTGCAAAAATGGTTCGTTACCGGCCCAACCAGGGTGCAAAAATGGGTAGAAAAGTCATTTTGGGGCCTACGACACCTTTTGGCCCGTTTGGGGGGAGATGAATACTAAGGTTTCATAGTGGGGAGGTTCGATAACTTTTTGCGGCAGATTTTTCATCATTCTTTTATATCCCCCTCTCACGCACAGGGGCATCCTACAAATTTGGTTGTTAAGCGGCAGAAAGAGTTCAATTCCCCAGGCCATGATGACAAAAAGTTTAATTCCCATAGCACAGGGGCATGCACGAAATGTGCACATGCCACACTGGCATGGGGTAAATTATGCAAGTGACATGGTCACACAACAAAAGCCTGCAAAATGTTAGGGGTACCAGACAAATTATTCTCCACATTATTATGAAAAACAATGGGGAAGAAGAGGACGGTTAAACCACCAGTACTGAAAACAAAAAAAACAAAAAAAAACAACAAAAAGAGAAAAACACCAGTACTTTTCCTGTTTATTTTTTTGCAACAAGGCACTGCTGTGTCTGGTGGCATGTACTGGGCCAGGCTTGCTGGTTTGTCAAAAGTACATTCACTTTACCAGCACTGCTGCAACTGGTTGGATTATGGGATATACTTTTTTTTTACAGAAGTCTAGATGCTTTTTTTTTTTTAATTATTAAAGGAATTTAGGAAAATTTTTGAACTGGCGGGATGTACTGGCTTGCTGGTTTAAAAATACAATGTCATTCAGAACAAGGCACTGCTACATCTGGGAGGATGTACTGGCGGCTTGCTGGTTTGTCAAAAATGCACTCAGCCTCAGGTAAAACCTGCTGCGCATAAGATGCATCTTGTCTGGATGCTTTTGATGCGATCCGATCCCGATTCAACCTAGCCGCCAGGTCCATGCCGAGACATGCAGCCCAAGCACTCCCGCACTTTAACAAAGTATCGGGGGAAAGTGCTGGTGGTTTACTTGCAGGCATGTGCCATTGTCGTCATGCGACCGCTCATTTTCTCCTTGCAATGCTGTTTGCTTCCCAAGCGACAAGTGGCATAATTCCCATTTCTCCCTTTTTTTGGCTTTGCCAAACGTCACAACACTTACAGAATTCAATCATGCTTTGAAACTGCAGGTGCAATGATGCGCCACACACACACGAAATGTGCAAAAAATTGGAGTGACCCTTGCACTAGAGTGTGGAGAGATGCATCGTCATACATTTTGTGGAGAGATACATCTTCATACATTTTGTTGAGAGATACATCATCATACAGTTTGTCGAGAGATACGTAGTGATACATTTTGTCGACAGATACAATGTCATACATTTTGTGTTTCGAGAATTTGGTGAGCGGTGCAGTGAGGCCCATACTCAAATGAGGATTGTTTCCATTAAGAATCTAGTAGTCACACCTTTTGATGAAGCCCCTGAAGAGACTGGACTGCCAAGAGCAGAAACCCGTCGGGCGAATTGCCAGGGTGTAGATGATGGGACACTACCTTCTTCTCTCGAATACAACGTACAGTCATTAAAGCTGTATCTAGACTGAAAGATGCCTCAAATACAGCTATAATGACCGTACGTTGTATTCGGGGGAAGAAGGTAGTACAGGCTGCATCAATGTTGTTCAAGTTAATATTATATCTTTGACTCCTTCGTCGAGTAATATCGATGGATTTTTTTGGAACCGCATTTCGGAGTACTGTCTGCCCGGAGAGTGATTCCGGCTCTTTTCTAGGCCACCACTCACGAAACACACAAAACTTCAGATAAAAATTACGACCATGCATCTTTCCATGTCCTGGCGGACGATTCACTCTCATTTTGCACATTTGGTGAGTGGTGCAGCCAGGACCTCTCTTTATTCTACTCCACTCTACTGTACTTTATGCTCTCTCTCGACCCAGTCTTTCTATTCTCTTTTACAAGAGAACAAGTCGTCTTGATGGGCTGGTAAATAAGAACCTGATTTTGAATTGTTCCCTGGGCAATCATGTCTGGAATGAGCAGCTCTCTTTTTATCAGGTAGGTATGATAACCTCAGAGTCTCTTTTCCAGGGCATGCTCACACTACGGTCTTCACCCGAATAGAACGCCCGGTCATTTTATAGCTGTATTTGGCACAAGTTTCAGCCCAAATACGGTGATCATTCTATTCGGGTGAAGACGGTAGGGCTTTTTCTACTAAACTCTGATCAGATTCATCTAGGTCTGCCTGTAATTGCTGTCAGATACATCCAGGAAAGCTCTAGTGTACCTGCCTTCATTCTGCTCCACGAGGATTGAGCTTCCTTTTGATCAGACAAGTCGTCCAGCTCTCCAACGCCACCTCTGTCCCCTCTTTTTTTTTGTTTTTTTTTCGGTTAGGCCATATTACCTTTTTTTTTTTTTTTTTTTTTTCCGGTTAGGCCATATTACTTCCGTTGCCGTGCACCAGTGACCCAATCCCACTTGGCAGGATTTCTTCGTTTTCGGCTCTTGATCTTCATCGGGCATGGCCACACCACTTTCGAAATGTGCACATTGAGAATGAACTTCCCGCTAGAACGTGGCCAGATGCTGCCACCAATTTTTTTGCCTTTTTCACATTTTGAGCCTGGTGTTGGCACTGTTGGGACGCCCATAGTCAATGGCCAGAGAGTCATAGCAAAAAAAACAAGAGACTTCCAAGGTGGATTATAAATTTGCACGTGCTGATTTTCAAGTAGGGATTGAGGTGATGGAGAGAGGGCGGAGAGAGGGCCTCTCTACACTACACTACTGACCCCGGGGGCAAGGTCCCACTTGCACGGATTACGAGATTTCGGCCGTTAATGTGAGCTATCTACGGTCTCTCTCTCTTAATTGGTCGAAGTGGGACCTAGCCCTGGGGCCTGGGCGAGTCATGGGGTCAGGCTCGTTGCATTCACGCACGTCGACGGAGTGACCGACTTCGACGTGAAAACATGACATTGGCAAAAACATTTGGGGTCAATACTCAAGCAACAAGGTTTGCCCTGCCTGCAAAGGATTCTGCCCTCCTACCTTCTTCACCCGGATACAACGTACGGGCATTATAGCTGTATTTGAGGCATCTTTCAGTCCAGATACAGCTGTAATGACCTTATGTTGTATTCGGGGGAAGAAGGTAGTTCATCTAGTCCACCCACTGTATGGCGGGTGAGTAAGGGTCTGATCCCACCACTACACTACAACCCAGTTACATTGTAGTTTTCGGATCCCACCACTTTCTGACTTCGTCGTGGCCGCCGAAATATTTTGCAATACTTTCGCTTGTGTGTGTCCTGGCAGCACGTCCGCGAACGGTGCAAGCGTAATTACTATAATTTTTTTTTTTTTTTTTTTTTTTTTTTTTTTTCCCCAACATCTGGCTCCATTCTATTAGTGGGGAGCAACACTTGCTGGGAAACGGGCCCAGCGTCCCTCATAAGATCCAAAAATGGAAACAGCGGCTGGGGTCCCCACAGTGAAAAGGAGAAGAGTAACTGAGTTCCATTCAGGGAGTAATGCCGGTTCTCATTGAAAAGGCTCTAGCTATTACTTAAGATCTCAGTCCCTCTCAGCTGAAAGCTGTCAGATAGGCAGTCTAGGTCTCTAGGACTGTGTAATTGATCCCATAAGAGGTCGGAATAAATAATTTTGTTGTCGCTGGAGAGGTCAGCCCACTTATGAGGTGAGGACCAGTTCCTCTTAAACTTGTCTTTAGCCAGTTCCAAGGGCCTCAGGTTACTTCTCGTTCTATACCAATCTGCAGTAATTTCCATTCTTATGGACTGTAAGAATTTTGCAAAAATAGCAGGAAGAGGAGGTTTAGAGTCCAGAAAACGTCTGTCTCGTCTTGCTAGCCATAGGGACCAGAATGCCCTTCTCCTGAAGATATGGGCTATCCTCTCTAATTGATGATTCCTAAACCTCTCTGGAGTTCTCCCTGTAATTACAAAATCTTTGTTCCAAAAGTCTGTTATGGTGTAAGCTTTCCCCCATGTGAAATTCAAAAGTTCCCAGAAGCCCCTAGCAATGACACATTCCCACCAGAGGTGTAACCAGTCTTCCAGGCACGGGTGCGGGCACACTTCACAGGCCGTTTGTATCTCCATACCTCTTTCAGCACACCAGAGGGCGGTGGGGACACATGAGTGTAGGTGCAGCCATTGTAGGCCCCCTACCTTTGTTTCCAAAGCTGAGAGTATG